TGGTTAAATTGTAAGTGCTGAAAAATGAATTAGGATGAGTCCTAGGATTGTTTTCAGAAATAAGCTCTGCTAGCATGAGGAAGGCTACATATTTATTTATTAGATTTTTAGTCTACCTTTATTATTTCATAGGTTACTCAGATTTACAAACAAACATAATATTCCTTCTTTCTATTTTTTTCCCCACAACAACCCTGTGGGATGGGTTGGGCTATGAGAGAGTGACTGGCCCAAAATCACCCAGCTGGCTTTTATACCTAAGGTGGGACTTAAACTCAGTCTCCTGATTTCTAAGCCAGCACTTTAATCATTACACCAAACTGGACTTATTCTTAATAAAAGGAACTTAAATAAAATATTAGAATTGGTTATGCATATCCCATCTCCAATGCTTGTACATCATGTGGCCCTCTGTGTGTAGATCACAAAATAACATGAGTCAAATTTGTGGCTGAAATTTATAATAATACCATAGTCAAATGGGCTATTTAACATATGTGCAATCATTTCAAGAAATGTGGAGTTGGATAAGCCCAAATGACAGATATATTGTTCCTGTGGAAATCTGACAAATTTCACAATACATTTGAGACACAATAGTAAGCATGGAATATTATAAGAGTGTTTTCAGAAATCATCAGTGGGAAGCCTGTGAAATGGCTAATCAGAGGATTATAATCATAGTTTTAAAACACATTCATAACCACAAAATATGTAGTGTTAATTAGACAATGGGGATTTCAGTGATCTAGGACTGTGGTTGTAATACAAAACTCATGTGTTACTTGGTGCGTAGGATGCAAAATTGAAGCATATCACTGTTTTGTTTCTGATAGTAAGATATTTACAAACTGTGGATAAAGGAGTCATTGTTTTCAGTTTCTAGTATTAAAAAAAGAATCTGCTTTGGTAAATAAAACGGTCTTTTTTTTAGCTTTTATGGCTATTGAGTTTGAGAGATCTCACTTCCAAGTGTTTGATACTTTAAGATATAGGAAAATAGTTAATTTAACGTATGTTGTGAAAGTATATTCTTTTCCAGAATCTCCTGCAAATCAACAGAGTTGTTTTTCTCTGACATTAGCCCAAAATAAGGTATTTTCTTTCTGAAAGACTTTTCCAAATAAAACATCTCTGACTTTTACAACAGAGCTGCATATTGTATTTTTTTTTCTTGATAGTGATTTATGACACATTTTAATTATGGTTATTGAAAACTTTGCATGGATGAATCTATCAAATTTATTTTTATTGTATTATTATATATTGCTGAAATATGTGTATATGATAGGCGGTAGAGTAATATTACTCTAATAACATATAATAAGCAATAACATTAGAGAGCCAGTTTGAACTAGTGGTTAAGGGACCAAGCTAGAAATCAGCAAGACTGTGAATTCTAGTCCCACCTTAAGCATGAAAGCTGTCTGGATAACTGTGGGCCAGTCACACGTTCTCAGCCTAACTCATCTCATAGGGTTGTTATGGAGAAAATAGGAGGAGGAAGGAGTACTTGTTATGTTTTCTGCCTTATTTATAAAAATAATAAAGGTGAGATTAAAAAAATCTGAAATAAAATGAAGCATTATATTGTACCTCCCCAAGTTCTCCTATTATGGCAGAGGAAAAAACACTAAAAGCCAAGTAAAAGCAAGGGGAAAGGAGGAAGAATATAAAGTAAATAAAAATAAAGGTAACATTTAAGAGGCTGTTGCTTTTGAGGACAGTTGGCAGTGCCAGGGGTTTTGCATGCTGTCTGGAGCAAGGCAAGGCCAGAAGTGGGAACTTTGTCTAGCTCTCCTTCTCAAGTGAGGGGAAGGAAGATCCATCCTGTAGAATGCCCTGGCTTTGCTTTGGAAAAATCACCTTTGCAGTCAAGCCAACCCTTTTTTATTCATAAATATTACAATGCTTCATTACACATCTAGCATTCAGCTTGTATACTTGTTCTTTCTTTACACATAAGTCATTTTCTCAGTTTGACAGGATTTTTTTTATAAATGTAAGCAAAAGTAGCTGAAAGCTGCACTGAGTAATTTAAATCAGTGGTCGTGGGCCACTGGTGGGCCGCAAGAAAGTTTTGGTAGGCTGCAGAGAAATCTCACCCCGAGAGCACCCTCCAAAGCAATTAATCCAGGCTGCACAGAAACACAAGGCTGTGCCGCCCACATGGCCCGCGGGAACCTTCCCCGCCCACTCACTCCTTACCCGGCAAACTTGCCTGCTTAATTGCTATTTTTCCTTTTTCCGACCATCATCTGTTCTGCTGTGCCGGGAGATTTAAATTAGCTAGGAAGCAGGAAATGGGTGGATTTCTTGCTTTCAAGCTAGTCTTTAGATCTTCGGCTCTGCTTTTAAGCACAGCCAAACCTTCCTTAGGACTGCAGGTTCTATTATTCAGTGCAGACTCACGGCAAGCAAACTACATGTGACAGACTGAGTTAGCCGATGGCAGATAGATAGATCACTGAATGATTCTGTGAGCAACTTAATCTGCCTGCCTGCTTTGCCTGATTTTGGGTAAAAGTTGCTCTTTTCTAAATAAAAAATTCAATATTTATATAAATATTTATAAAATTTACATACAAGCCATGCCCAGCCAGTCCCATGACCACCAAGTCACACCCACAAATTAGACCATGCCCACAGAACCAGTTACTGGTCCCTGGGATTTAAAATTATGAGTTTGGTGGTCCCTGCGGTCCAAAAGGTTGGCGACCCCTGATTTAAATTGTGTCTGTGAATTTCACTTAGCTCCTGAACATGCTGCCTAAACATTTCTGACTCTTAAGCAGATTGTCTATCATTGTCTAGTTTTGTCTCAGCATAAATAGAGTGAAAAATATTAACCTTAGAGAGCTATCACATCACTTCATAAATATAAACAAAAATATTCCTATAGTTGCTACCCAAAACCTAATAAATTGCAGAAGCTATTTCCTGATACCTCAGGTATATCATATATGTAAGATTTTAAATCCAATTGAAATTTCTTTTGCATTTCCTTGTTACCATTTTTGCATATATTTCTATCTGATTAAATTTCCTTTGTTTTTAAAAAAGTTCTGCTTTTAAAATGCTATTTATGTCATAGTGTTATGTAGTGAAAGCCATTTCCTATATTTCCGTAAGTCTGCCCACTTAATGATGCACTTTTTAGTAGTTAAACACTCATGAAACTAACTAATATAATTACACTTGATTGATATCTGTCATAGTTTTTTTTAGAATAATAAAAATGATTGTTAGGTTTTTTATCAATTTTTTAAAAAATCCTTTTCTCTTTCTGCAGATTTCAGTTACTTTTGTTTTTTAAAAAATACATTAATTCTAAGGTTTAACTATTTCTTGATTTTACTAAATTTTTTGCTTGTATGTTCCTATTTTTTAAAAAACATAATTATCTTTGCACTGTATTGGAAATTTTGACCTGTATGTTTTTATTTGTTGCTCATTGGCTTTTTAGTTCTATGGCATGTATAGAAAAAATTTTAAAGCTGAAAATCAAGAACTATACTTAAAAGTGGGCAATCTCAAAAGATGACTTGGAAGAAGCTAGGTGTGAGTGAAATAAACATTCTGTTTCTGATTCTGCTGTGCTGGATGTTTTAGCCACAAATCCAATTAAAGTGAGATTCTGCATGTAGCAGATTGTATATATTAGCAAGTCTAATTATCCTCCTTTTTCACAAATAATTCCAACCATGTTACAAGTTACTGGAGAATGACTAGTTAGTTATTGTTGCCCAGAATATGATTCATAGGAAGTGATTAGATGTAGCTCATTTCTTTTTAGAAATGAATCACTCAAAGATTGCAAGCAGTATACCCTGTATGTTTGCATTGAAAAATTATTTTATTGGCTTAAAAATCGCTAAAAGTTTCAGCAACTTGGAAGAACTTGGCATAGGCTATGTTTATCTTTAATTGTTTGTTCAGGGCTGTGTGTATTTAGTGCTAAAAAATTCAATCATATATCAAAGTACTTTAGATTTGTGCAGGAGAATCTGGACAATTATGTTTATGCAGATGAGATACAGTTGCCTATATATTTTTGTATGTTTTCCCCATATGTCTTAGAGTGTTTAAATCAGGTTTAATGAAAAGATGCAGCTATAATGGTATACATTGGTGTAGTCTACAGATATAAATTATAATTAGGTATAATCTTTCTAGGACTAATAAACTACTGTCTCTAATTTAAAGAAAATGTTGTTTATAATTAACAGTGGCAATAATATTTAGAATGAAAACCATTAAGAAAAGCTATATTAGAATAGGATTGACTTTTTCTATTGAAGTAAAATTCTACAGAAGTGGCAGTTCCTTTCAGTCCTATTTTATTTGTATGAATAAACATAAAAATGTGAAGTTTTATTTATAGGGTAATAATGAAGATGCAGTTTAATTGTAGGATCAGACAACAAGATTACCATTTCCAAGTGTGTTTAATATTTTTAAAATACAAAAATTGTCTGTCATTGTTATTACTGTTTTCTTTCCCACAACTTTAATAACTCTAACCCTGAAGAGAGTAAAATAATTTTACAATGCAATAAACCCATCATCTCAGGAAGTTGGGCCACTTCTCTCTTTGGCTTCTAAGAAATGGTACTGATTCCCCAAAGGTCTTTCAGAACCATAAAGGATAGAAATCCATGCTTGTCCATCACTGGAATTTGGGACAGGGCAGCTTTAAAAAGTATGTGGGGACTTCTGTTTTTCTAAAGATTTGAATTCAAACCTGCTTTGTCCCATTTGACCACTTTATTCTTTTTACTTGATTGCTGCTTTTATTTTTATATTTGGGATAATATGGACCTAGGGATATTTTAGTATCCTAGTACTATCCTGGAAATAAAAAAAAATCCATTAACCATAAATTGTGTTATGGGTAATATACAACTTTCTAATTTTCTTAATTTTAAGATTATGCTTTGTATTTCAAAAATAACATTTTTTTTCTTTTTCCTCTATGTGGGTTTTCTCTTATTATTCAGGTGTAATGGCTCTGTTGAGACCACTCCTATTGGACGTGGTTCCAAATATTCAACAGACAGCTGCTCTGGCCCTTGGGAGACTTGCCAATTACAACGATGATCTAGCAGAAGCTGTAGTTAAAGGCGATATTCTTCCCCAACTTGTGTATTCATTGGCTGAACAAAATGTAAGGCATAAACATAGTCTTAAGTATTTTTTTTCTCTGATCAGAGTTAAACCTTCTGTCCTGATTAGCTTTTTAACCATTCTTTAGATGTATGTTCTCATTACTCGCTATAGACAGTTTTTTGATAGAAAATATTTATTATTGTGATTTAGTTAAATAATTTTAGAAGTCTACTTAATTACTAAAAGCATGTTATTTGTAATTTTATTTATTGGACTATTATACCGGTAATGCTATGAAAACTTTTGTTGTATTAATGAAATGATTAAAAGTATTGTATAATTAATTGGCTACAATATGTTGTAAACCACGTATAAAGCTTGCATTGTAACTTCTTATAAATCACGAATCTACAAGGCATGAGAATGTAAATAGGGCACTGAAATAATGAATATAATGTGTCTATGTGTTATATCCATGTAATACATTCTAATTATGTAATCTAATAAATAATAATCTCTGCTCCTCAATGCCATAAAACCCTGAATGGTAGTCAGCTACCTAGCACTAACTTTGCCTTGTATTGCCATATTTGGGGAGTCATCTGACCACTTCTTTGTAAAAGATAAGTTGGCAGAAAGAAGGCATTAAGGATAATCGGTGTACAATCGTTTCTCCATGGGTTTTACCTCAAAGAAGGATATGAAAGAGCCATGGGTTTTTCTACTATGTGGTTCATGATCAATTCATCTACTGTCTTTCCATATCAACCATCTTGCCTTTCTTGGCACCTAGCCATCAGTTCATTCCTCAAATCTTCAGCAACCTTTTTGTACCACACTTACAATACTCACTATTCCTCCTCAGCCAGCCAGTACTTCCAATTGACAAATGGAGAAATGCAAACATTGGCATCCAGATAGCACCCATCGTTTGGGTGTTATTACTTTGTTGATCTTATTTTTATGTTGAGGGAAAAAAAGGATCATTAAAAAAAATGGCGGTAGGTTGACTTCAGCAGAAAGAATTAAGCAGATGGAATGAAGCAAAAGTATCTAACAATGGGAAACTGCCTACTTTCCAGCTTCAGGATTAATTCTGCAAAAACCTAGTTCCATATTGCAGAACTGCTAAAAAGTTTCATGATAGACCATGGGAGCAGCTCCAAATCTTGATTGCAAATGCTTTGGATAGAGAAGCATTACTCCAACTTCTTTTTGGAATTAAGAATACAAAGAATTATGCCTTATTTGAATGCAATGCATCCTGTTCCTGCTATTACTTTTAGTACTGTTTGGTTTTGGTTTTATAATAATCTAGGTGTTGATTTTGAGTTTTCCATCTCTGCATTTTCCTTTATTTAAGAATTTTCATCCTTGTCCTGGGTTATTATAAAATTCTGAATTGCTGCCTTCAGTTTGCTATTTAATGATTCTGTAGAGTGGTAATAACTAAGACTGAAAACATAAATTTAAGAATTTATGTTTAGCCAACTGTTCCTGTTCTGGTGGAAGCAGTATTTGTATAAAAAAGATAGAATCTAACAAAGGAGTGGAAATTACGAAAGAATCAGGACTGGTTTGTGTTCATGCCATTGTTCTGAAGCTTGTTAATTATAAGCCACTATTTGTGTATTTTATTTTAGACTTTAGGTATTTTGAATAATAACAGATATATGATCTATTGTGAATTAAGCTTCTCATGCACCAGTGAAATGAATGGAGACCACATAGGCTAACATATCATATTTTATCCATTGATATTTCAAAAAAAGTCCTTCAAAACATGACCTCTTGCTTAAAACATAATTATCTGGTGTAAGAATTTGCATGCTTTTTGAACACATTCTATTATTAGCACATGCTATTATTACTCTGCAATTATTCTTCTTTCAGCAGAAATCAGATTTAACAATGGTTGTATTTTTCTGCTTTTAAACCTCAGTTCTAAAACCATTCTTTGAAGAATTTTCTATTATTGTTTGTAATTTATATGCTTGTTTAGATCAAATTTATATAATGAACAAATGCCATTTCCTAGTTTCATCTTAACTATTAACTATTAATTTTTCCAAGATAGGTACCTCTTAGTTGTGCAGTATTGAATTTCACCTGCATAATTCTCAGTCAGAATAATTTTTGGATTTGCTGACTGAAAGAAGACTTGAGGATGATTACATTTGAGAACAACTAGATTGGGAAAGATAGTCAACCGAATTCATCATTATATTTACCTTTTTTGGTATACATGCATTTCAGTGATGCAACATTTTTTATGTATACTGAGAGCATATACACACCAAGACAAATTCCTTGTGTGCCCAATTACACTTGGCCAATAAAGAATTGTATTCTATTCTAGTCTAATCTACCATATACATTTCCAATCTAATGCAGAGATAACTAATCATATTTTTTTTGATTCATTCATTTGTCCTCTGGCCTATCCTTTTGGATGGTGAAGCTGAAACACCACCACCCCATACACAATATATATGTATACAGTTGCTTGCAAAAGTTAAGCAGCCCTAGACAAATTATATATTTTAGTGGAACTTTATTTTTTATAGTTTTTTATTAATTTATAATATGACATACAACGAGAATACAAAAGTAGATATTAGGGAAATTAGGGAAGGAAAAAGGGAAGTGGATAGTGAGGGAAAGCAAGGGAAAAAGAAAATAATTCCTTTGGTGCAGTAAAATAAGGCATTAACATCTATCTTCAACTCTTTACTTTTTCATAATAATAGAAACTAGCCATTTCTATAACAATAAATCTATCTAATCAGTAAAACCCAAAATCAAAGTTTCATTTTTTTCCATCTTAAGCACAAAGTCCAGAAGTGGTTTCCAAGTAGAAATAAAGGTATTTTTCTTTAATCAAAACAATCAATTTAGCCATTTCTGCTAACTATCAGTTTTTGCAGCCATTTGTCTATTGTGGGGATGGAGGTGACTTCCGTTTCATGCATAGAATAGTCTTGCTGTTGTTAACAATTTTTTCATCAAGTTTTCTTCCATTAAACCCAAAGAAAAGTCTCTGGTTTTCTTTCTGTATTCATTTAAAGAATTTTCTGTATTATGATATGAATCTTACCCTGATATTTCTTTGCCTTATCACATGTCCACCATAGAAGATAAAAAATTCCTTATTTACATTAACATTTCCAACATTCATTTGAAGTACCTTTATACATTCTTAACAATTTATCTAGTTAAATACCAATGATACATCATCTTATAGAAATTTTCTTTTAAATGATAGTTTAATGTAAACTTTATTCCGCATATTCTCCCATTGTTCAAGCATTACATTATATCCAAAATTCCTTGCCCACAGAATCATACAATGCTTTACATGTTTTAAATTCAATAACACTTTATAAACTTTAGTAGTAATATGTTTTAGTGGAACTTTAAATGAACAGATATTGTATAAACTTATATCTTTTTGAAAGTTCAAATGCATATTAACTATATGAGCTTCAGAGTAAGAAAAAGTGCATATACTATGGCAGATGTAGCAATTTGAATGCACTTTTACTTACTCCACTGCAACTACAATGTTGGGGGGGGAAGCTAATTTTTTTCTTACAATCAGCTGGGAATTTTTCTATTCTTGCTTTGTCATGTTTTCTTGCAGCATTCCTCTAGCTAGAAATCCTTCATCACATGAAAGGCAGACCTGTGATCATCTGTGCTTTACTTCACATACTATACATCCATCAGAAATTACTAAAGGCAAATGATCAAAGAAGATTCTCCTTGGATAAATTAATTGCAGTGCTCAAACTATCAGCACATAAAAGCCAAGAGTGAAGGATGGGGAAAGTTTTACTTGGCTGTTATAGGAAGCTAGATGATGTCTATCCATCACTTTTGAACACAAAAGTTGAAAAGATTCATTAAGACCACTGAACCAGCCCCTGCTCTATGCAGAATTCCAAATTAAAACAAGCACAACAAATTACTTTTTATTGATGCAGTGAATGAGAACCCTCTCTGGGTGATTGATTCTATTTTTCAACTCTTTTTAATACTAGGAAGTTTTTCCTAACATTTAACAGGATACTTAGTTTCCTCTGACTGAAGTGCATTATTCAAAATCATGCATTATTAGATGTTAGAGAATAAGGATTGGTCTTTTGGCTGGTACCTTTCCAGATTTATTTTCCTACAAGACCAATTCCCACAATTTTTCTTTGCAAGACACTCTCCCTACCTTTATTATGGTGGTTCCATTCTCTGAACTCAGATATAAATGCTGCAGAAGTAAGATTTCATTCCTAGTCTTGATAATTTCCTCCTATATTATTACAAAGCATACTTGCTTTTTTAAGAACACATATTGAGAAACAAAGATCCTATATATTAAACATAATACCTAAAGTAAATGAGACAAAATACTTTACTATTTTAGTGTGTGCATACCAGATAATGTAGATCCTGATTCATGTATTAGTAACTTCATATATTGAATATTGTATTGCTGGGTTATATTATTCAATGTGGATCTGTCCTTTTGTACAGAAGCTACAGTTTATGCAAGTGTAGTGGCAAAATTATTCTATAGTACATATGTATAATACCAGTTTTGAAATAATTGCACTGACAATTTGCTGCCAAAGATTTAAGGCTTTGTTATTATTCTATAAAAATTACTTTGGATCAGGATTCCTGAGAGACTGACATTATTTCATGGACATCTGCTTGAGCATTATAAATATCAGAGGCCTTCCTGATTACATCTGTTCTATGGACTCTTTTTATATAGAAAACCTTTTGTTATTGTTGTTGAGATTCATTCACTGGAACACCTTCCCCTTCAACAACAACAACAAAAACCCTCTGCTGACTTTGCTGCTGTTTAGGCACACAATACAGAATATTTTTACTTAGCTTAACAGTGAAAAATCAAAGGGTGATTTTTATATTTGAGTTGGATTTTTATATTTTGAGCATACATTGTTTTTCTTTTATAATCAAATGTATTTTTAATTTAATACACCATGGGGAAGCATTGCATAACAGGTGGCATGTTAAATAAATTTATTTATTTGTTTTTCAAATTTGGATACTGCCTTTCTTACATAGAGATTTAGTTGATCCTTTTTTTCCCTAGTCATATGACTCCCTAGTTAAATAATTGCAATTTATTCTAATCTTTTCTGTACTTGTGTAGCGTTTTTATAAGAAAGCGGCCGCATTTGTATTACGTGCAGTTGGAAAGCATTCTCCTCAGCTTGCCCAGGCAATCGTGGATTGTGGAGCTTTGGATACACTGGTAATTTGCTTAGAAGATTTTGATCCTGGGGTGAAAGAAGCTGCATCCTGGGCCCTTGGTTATATAGCAAGACATAATTCAGGTAAGAGACTTCTTAACATTTTAGGATGCATCAAGTATTTACATTATGAAACCCAACACAGAAAATAGATAATGGTTTTACTGCCTATATGAGCAAATAGACATGGATAGCATGTATCAGGTTTAAGAAAAGCAAATGGAAAATAATGACTGTGTAGGAAGATGTGCTTGGTTCAAATTTAGCCTCTTTCTAAAAGGAGAAGAATGCTGCCAGCTTTTACAATATTGTTGTAAAAAGTGCTAGAAAAATACATATTGAAAAGGTGGCATGAAATAATGTTAGGTTATTGGCAAAATGAAAAAAATAGGCAGTTGAAATTCCACTTTTCTTCTGATCCTCTTGTTCGTAATGTTCATACATTTTACTTTCTGTAAACAAAGACATAAGGATGAGAATGGAACTGCCTTTCCTCTTTGTAATTCTAGCATCAATATAAATGCTAATTAGGATTATAATTTCTTGACCAGTACTGCTATAATGTAGACATTAAAATAACAGGTTGATTTTTAAGAAAGGAGTAACTATGCATTTTTATTCTGCATTTCAAATTACAGATTCTCTACAGACAACTCCTAACAGTTATCAAACATACTTAAGAAAAGGATTGCCAGGAGACTTAGATTAGCCTATTTAATATTTCTATTTTTCTTGTGAACTTACTTAGAAACCAGAGATTATAATGTGATTTGGGGAAAAGAGTACAATAAAAAAAAAAAACTCTCAGCTCTTCTACATTGTTAATGACAAGCTTTTAATTGTAAAAATAGTTAAATAAACTAGCAACAAAAACAATGAATTTCTTTTTGTTAAGAAAAAGGGGGGAAGGTTTATTTAGGACAAAAAAATATTGGTTTACAAAAACCCCCAAAGAGATATGGAATAGATTTTTATCTTGTACTTCATTCTAGTTTATAAATTGCAAAGACTGGAAGATACAGTAAAATACTTGTTACAATGAATTTGTAAATTACCAGAACATGCTTCTAGAGAGCAATGTTTCTTCTCCCATCATGAAGCAATTGTAGATTCAGACACGCAGAGAACCTGTGGCCATGGAAACAGTAATACAAAGTGCACAAAATTGACCACACAGCAGATCAGGGGAATAGTTCCTCTCCCTATCACAATAGTCCTTGATTTTGAATTATATCAAAAGGGGCATAGCAAATCACTAAACATTTCCTTGAAGTGTTCCAATTAACAATGGACAATTAGTGTGCAGATGACACAGGTAACAAATAAAAAGCTAACTGAAAGCTAATCAGCACTGTTAACTTCTTAGGGAATAAGGCACATCTTGAAGTTCAAAGGAAGACAGCCACCATGGGGGTTAAATAGTTTCCATATACATCTGGATTCTAGGCAAACTGAGTAATTCCTAACTCCTTGACCTATCTGATCTTGATTTAGCAGGCAATATGGAAACTGAATTCAAGATGGCAACATAATAAAACAAGGCAGGATACATTAACAAAATGTTACAGTGTATTCCCAGTCTGTAATCAAGGATATAAATCATCCTGGAACAAAAGTCACAATAGATGATTCAGAGATTGAAGATGGGCAAATAAATGGCTGGGGAAAGAAAAAAAACCCCAGACTTCTTATTCCCAACACTTTAAAGCTTTTAATGTTCTTTTAAAAGATTTTAATGGCTAATGACCTATGATATATTAAAATGATAATGAATGGGTGAAACTAAGATTTTTGAGGAATAGAAGTTATAAAATATTTTAAGGTGTATTAAATTTATTCTAGTATTTGTGTTTTTTTATTTGCTATTATTTTGGAAATTATTTGTGTTTTGGTGATTTGGTGTTGCAGAATCTAGAGACTAAAAAAGCAAAGTAATTTCAAGAAACCAGAGATAGACTTTACTATGCAGTCTTGTCCAATCATGTGTTCTAACACCAGAAGTCTTAATTTGTGGGCGGAGGAGGATGTCATTCTCTGATCTAAGCATTACAAAGCAGAAAGTGGAATTTTACGGAATAAAAAAGGAAAAGTTCCTATCTTATTTTTCTTCCATCTAGACATTTCTGTATAGGGAAGCTAATTTAACCATTTATGGCAAATATATCTTAAGTGTAACATCTTTTTAGGATTTTTACTATAAATTGTTAACTCTTTGGTATGCCAGTTTTCCTTCTCCCCTCCTTAAAACTCCAGTGACTTTATGTTTCTTCGCACACATCACATTTTGTATCTCCCTAATGTTTACTGTTCTTGAAAACTATTTGATTTCTGTCTTTTGATATTTGATGGGGTTTGCTATATTTACAGTATTACTGTAGCAATAAAAATAGTTCTCCATATCAAATTAGTTTAGTACATATGACAACCAAAAATGACAACCATAATATTGAATGATTCTACATTTCATAGGCATTTGACTACCCCAATTCATTATTAAAGGAAATGGGAAAAGCTAATTTTTAATATATATATGTTTCTAGCACTTCATTGCACAGGTTTCCATTTGCTCTCTTTATTTAAAATTGTTCTTTATGTAGAAGCCTATGCCTTTTCTCCAATCAAGAATTAATTCCTACTCCTAGATTCTTTCCCCTTCTTTTAAAGGTAAAAAGTAATCTTTTGTTTGCCAACCAGATTGGTATAATTGGGGGTAGGAAAAGAAGAACTCTTTCTGCAGTGTGATAAGCAATACATAAATAAACACTATAGTCTTTTTTTTAATGAGAAGTGAACATTTATATTCGTTATTTTGGTAATTTCATGAGATTGCTGTATAGGTTTGAGAAAGTAAAAGGAAGTTTTAGTCCCACCATGCTTTTTAAACATTTGATTCCTCACTGTAATTAGAAATCATGATAATATTTTTATTCAAAAGCCAACTTGAATACATGGAAAGAGGATATCTAAAGAACTCTTAAAATATACTATGTTTTTTTAAAAAAACAGAGCAACAATTAATCTCGCTGAAGTTCTTAATGCAAATTCTATGGCCAATTAGTTTATGATCTCTTTTTTGATTAAAAAAAGATTATTCAACCTCTTTATAGTAGCATAGTTACTTTACAGTTATAATTTTCTCTTCTGCTGTTTAAAATATGAGATTAGTTGCTAAGAACTTGGGAGAGGAACTTTTATTAAAATGATTTTACTTTTTTGCTGAAATTTCTTTCAGTCCATTCGGATAGTATTTCAGTATTAACTTTCAGGATGGATTATAAAAGGAATTTTGGATATCTTTCCTTTTCATGAGGTTTATACATTAAATAAATCATGTGCCTAGTGCTATATTAGGTGTATTTACCGAGGGGAAAGACTTTATAAACACACACCAGTATATAAACAGCTTTGATGACAAATAGCTTTATATTTAGATATGTGACAGAGTTTCATATTGGGAATAAAGTAGGATGAAGTTGTAAATGGAGCAGAGGTTTAGATCATGACAAAAATGTATTACAACATAACAATATTTATAAATATAATAATGTCAACATTTGCATTTCACTTATATAAGTTGAGGTCCAAATTTTATCATAGGAAAAAAGTTTTTTTCACGTTAGCACACTATGAAAATTAATAAATCTATACAATGTAGTACATGAGTAAGTAGATAAATAGAGAATTGGTTTGTGGGCTTTACCTCCCCCCTTAAGAAAATTCTGCAGAAAGCTTTGATTGATGAACTGTAAATGCAAAATCAAAGTTGGGCCCTTGAATTACGAGAGCTATTTGTTGCCATGGCAATGCAAGGCAGGTTAAATGTTAAAGATAAGAGACTATGTGCATAACAAGGAGAAGACCTAACAAAACCTTATTTAAGAACCTATAATAGCCCATTTGAAATTAATGGGATTTGTGCTCATTTTTCATCATCATCTGCAAAAATAGCACATGCCTTAATCCTTGTGTTTGCTACCCAGTAATTTTTTTACTTCACTACTGAAGTTTAATGATAAATACGTTGGAAGAAAGGTAATTAATATTTGGTATAATAGAGTGTGTATTAATTCTTGTGGATTTTATGTTAAAATACAATTAACTGGCCATAGCAACTTAATGTATCTGTCTGTTGCAATGATGTAGGAAAGGACCTAGTTTATTAATAAAAAGGTACTATTAAAATGTATACTAGTGTTCAGAATTAGCAAGTTAGGTCTTTGAATTAATGGTAATAACATCACTTTAAATGAAATTAAATATTAGTGTAATTTAGGCCTGTTATTTTCTATTTCTTGTATGAATAGGGCAAAGAATCTGCAGTCTAAATCAGATTTGTGGGGGAAGGGGATATATTTAGGTATTTTGTCTTTTCTTTATTGTTAGCAGTGCAAAAGCTGCTTGCTTATTGATCAGTACACAACAGCCGGAGCTTAAACAGCTGACATCTGCTTACTTTTTTAAAATGCACACGTGTGCACATACACAGACAGGGTAGGGTAGGAAACTATTTCAGTCTAATGTACCTCAAATGTGTACACATAAATGGAGGTCCATCTATTGACCTGTATTCTTTTCAGCTGAGGACTGGTCCACGTGGTTTATGAAACTTGAAGGGTTGATTTGAAATGCAGATGGCCAGAGACTAGAATCCACTCTCTCTTCTCCTTCTCTCTCTCCTGCTGTATCTGTCAAGGTGAAAAATGGCTTGTACAAGGGTCAGTCACCCATATTCACTTAATTACTTTCATTGGACCAACAGAACTGTCACAGTCTGTGGTGGACGCTGGAGCTATTCCTCTTTTAGTCCTATGTATCCAAGAGCCAGAGATTGCTTTAAGAAGGATTGCTGCTTCAGCACTGAGTGATGTTTCAAAGCATTCTCCAGAGTTAGCGCAGACTGTCGTTGATGCTGGGGCCATTGCTCACTTGGCACAGATGATACTCAACCCTGATGCCAAATTAAAGGTACTTCACAAACTAATTTTCCTCTTTTCCAATTGAGAATGTGATTCTATATTGGAGAAACAGTATTAATCCTCAATGAACTTTTTTTTCAAAAATATGCAATGCTAAATTGGAGTGGTAACAAAGGGGAGATCTGATTGCTTGATGTGACTGTTATAGTATATATGTGGTAATAGTAGCTGGTGAATAAGAAACAGGGCAATTCTTATTTAATATGGCAATTATTTGTATTCTTAAGAATGAGAGACAGATTTGTAGCAATTATCTTCAAGAGCTTTTCTGAATTCTAGAAAACTTACTTGTTGTAATGAATTCAGTATGTTTGATTTATAAAGTGTTAAACATGATAATGCTATACTCCACAATATTTTGTTTTGGAAACTCAATTTATTTCAGTGATGTGCATCTTTGAATAAGCCAGGTGAATGTCATACAGAAGGTATAAGCCTCCAGACTTTTATTAATGTGCTCTGGGAAAACCTTTAGCTTATAGAAAATCATGCACAATAACAGTGGTTAGAATCTAAAATTACATAAATTCTCTTTGTCCTGTGTATACCAGTAGTTTTGGTTTTTGGGGGGGAGCTGTTAACATTCAGTGATTTTTTTTTCCACAAAAAGCAATAGGTTTATAAAATATTTATTTCAAACATTGTAAGGTAATTGGCAACAGTTGATAAGATCTGGATGGTCTGTCCTAATTAAAAAAAACAATGTTTTAATGTGTATGAGTTTTAAAAGAAAGCAATAAATAATAGCATGTGTTGGCTTCTCTTCTGAATTGCTAGAAATTCCATTTCCTAATTTTATTTAGTTTATATTTTTAAAAGAATTATTTAGTTGTCCATTTATGTACTACAATACTGACTCTATAAAAACATAACTCCCCCCATAAAACTAGTTAAAAATAGGTTCATTTAATTAAGAAAACTTTTCTTCCAGATGAATGAATGAATGAAAATATATATTATTTTTTATCATTTTTTGTTTTGAAATTATATATTTTGAGTGGCTTTCACAGTTTGAAAAGTTTTCTGCTTCCTTTTGATTGCTTTGTCCATATATCCAATAACCATTTATAAAACATTCTTGTTTACTAGCGTCAGGTGCTTTCAGCTCTTAGCCAGATAGCAAAGCACTCTGTGGATCTGGCAGAAATGGTGGTTGAAGCAGAAATTTTTCCTGTTGTACTCACATGCCTCAAGGATTCTGATGAATATGTCAAGAAAAATGCTGCAACTCTAATTAGAGAGATAGCAAGACATACTCCCGAGGTAAACCATGTGAATATAAACAACAAGGTCATGATGTTTGTAAATCAGTGAATATGTTTAAATGTGTATGTGTGCATGCAGCAAACATCTACAAATGACATATAGAGATCTATATAGATATGCACAAGATCTTCAGTATTGTTCTATAATTATGCAAAGCCTCTATAGTTTTGGCATAAATAAAAATGTATATTGCTGTTTTGGGGTATGCATAGAATACAAATATGTAAAAAAAATCAAAATTGGCAAGTTCAGCTTTTTTATTGGTGGATATTAATATGTCATATGTTTAATGATTCAGCCATATGGGATGGCCTACTCTATACAAAGTAATAATAAAGTATAAAGCATCCCTAGGTTGAACAAAATGAAGAGAATCCTGTATATTTAACATAGTGTTGGGTGGTTCTGCTAGGTGGATTTCTCTTGAACAGGGAAAAACGGTGGATTTTTAAAAACAATTGCCTTAATAAGTTGATGATTGTTGGGTTGTCTTGAAAATGCCTCCTGTGATCTGAACTGGAAATCTTTAAATAATGGCCATACTGCTGAGCAGATCCAAATGGGGCATAACCTATGGACTGTGAGGATTGGCAGAGTAGGAAGTAGTAGAAAGAAGATTGACAAAAAAGAAATTCACAAAATGTATTGGAATAAATTACGCATTGCATAACAATTTCTTGCCAACTCTGAAATAACTGGTTTGCTGGAATCAGTTAATCAGGAGAAGAGTTAATAGTTTACAGGCAGAGCTTCCTCGGAGTTAGGCACCACAATAACCAACTCAGCACATGATCTTATATTTAAAAAATGAAGTGTATTGAGGAGTATAAATGCTTCCCCCCCCCCTTTGAGTAGTAAGGGGACACTTATAGCTCACCAGGATCTCATTATAAGAAGCTTTTTATTAATTTAAGCCACAAAATCTAGTGCCAAAATTCAATATACTCATTATCTCAGGTGCCTCAGAGCTTGAGGGAAAGGTCCCTTGCCTTGCCACCCCTGGGCTCCGGAGGAGATATTGCGAGTTGAATGGGAATGAAAGGCGAAGGAGGTGGGAAGATTTGGGGAATCGCCTCTTCCGTCTAAACCTCCTTTGTACAGCAGAGCCCTGTCTCAGCAGGAGTCCTCACTGTGTGTTTAAAAGCCCTGGCATTTGAAACTGTGGTGGTGGGGGAAGGGGCTGGCTGAATTGCAGTCGGTCGGTTGCAGCCACTTCTCTTGCTGGTTCTGGCCTTTTCGCTCTCGCTGGCTCTCTGCTGGGAGGCGCTGTTTTGATCTTGAGGGAATCCTGTTGATAACTTGTTTGTCAAAGGATCGCCGTAAGCACTCGGCAGGCATCCTAAAAGCCTGTTAGCTGGCGAAACCTCTGTCAGGCACAGCATACATTGTCCAGCTCTGCAGTATCAGATGTTATTGGATAGTGGAGAAATATCACTACAAAGATAGCTAATTGGCAGGGATTATGAAATATTCAGACCATAATATATCCCTCAAAATGTAGCCAGAATATTTGTTTAGCTGGTTGATGTTTAGCCTAGAAAATAGCCATTATTTTTAAATGCCCAATAAACCATTCCAGTAATATATATTCACTAGGATAGCTATAAAAATAAGAACAGCTAAAGTGACACTGATCAAATTGTACTAGAGGATTTTTTAAAAACAAAGTTTGATGCCCAAACCATCTTGACAGGCAATGGGGTTGAGAACAGCATCTGGCACAGTTGGGTGTATTCTAGAACATTCCCCATTGCTGATAGTGCTCCATGTTGTTTAAACAAACTGCCACACACTCTGAAGATAATTGCTTGATATTAGCTGTCTTTTTTATTTTCATCAAATGCCTTGAATCCTACTCCTTGACTGGTATTCCACTTAAGAGTTTTGGGCTATGCATCACTGCCCACTTCTGCTTCTTCTTTTGTGGTGTTCTTGTATATTCTATACTAATAAATTTGCCCCAGGGTGAGGGGACAAGACAGGGGCTTCCCTAGAGAGAGAAATCTAAATTACAGCCTTATCCTCAAGAAGGCCTTTTCTGTGACATCTTGTAATCCAGAGGCAGGCCTCTAATGAAGTCTTTAGTTTACAGAGTGGCATGCTTAGAGATGCATACTAGCACTAGAAAATGATGCCTATATAAATATATTCTCAGAGCATTAACATGCAATGTTGAATGCTACATATATTTCCAAAAATAGAGCAGAGATGCTGTTCTACACACATTAAGACTTATGTGCAATATCATATTAAGCATTTTATACAAAATTGCAGTATGAAAGCTATGTTTTAATGAGTTTTATTTCTTGGCTTTAGGGAATGATTGCTGGAAGCATGTTAGTTATCTAAAACCTTTGATAATTTCCAGCTTTTTTCATTATACCTCAATTAAGTCCTGATCTATCAATTCTTGGCCCAAACGGTTTCAGAAACTTAGGAACTTTTCCATTCAACTGCACTAGTTTGCTTAGTCTCTGTGGATCAAAACACTGGATTTAATTGGTTTTTGGTATTATCCATTGTAACTTTTTTACGGCATAAGACAACGTTCCTAGAGCTGTCTCTGCAATATTGTACTTTCTCTGGATTTGATGAATGTGCAGGCCATAGTAAGTTTCTTAGATCTGAAAAAGCCAGGAGACACCTAGTTGACTCTTAGTTGAAGCCAATTGTTTGTTTGCACATGTTCCACTTATTTATTTATTTTTGTCAATTGTTTACAAGATAATAGGTATAAGTCAAAACATAGTTATGAATACGTGGATACATATAAAAAAAATTAAAAAATATATAAAAGAAACAATAGGACAGGGACCGTAGGCACTTCTTAGTAGTACTTATTTATTTTCATTTATTTAAATTATATCTTTCATTCCATCTCACCAGAACAAACAAGATGGTTAGCAACATTCCAAATGATAAAAAAAAATAAAGAGGACATAATTAAAATACTTAAGTTAAATATTAAATTCTTGAAGGCATATTAAGTAGATAAGTATATGCATTACATTCTTTTTTCTAATTTGTATGTCTTGTTGAACATTTATGTAATAGTTTAGAAAAAAAACATGTAATAATATAGTTTGGTAGTCATGTGAAATGATAGCATCCCCTGATTGTGTTTGTTTTCAGCTTTCACAACTTATTGTAAATGCTGGAGGAGTAGCTGCCATCATCGACTGCATTGGTAGCTGCAAAGGAAATGTTAGACTCCCGGGTATTATGATGTTGGGCTATGTAGCTGCTCACTCGGAAAATTTGGCCATGGCAGTGATAATCTCTAAGGTTAGTTTCTGGGCCTTCCAATGTTACAATCAGAATGCTGTTTATAGAAATTGGCTCAAGTGCGTATAATTATTTTTACAGGTTAGGGACAAAACATTAGCCAAAAGCAGAGAATAAATATGTTTGTAAAAAAGAAGTTTGTGATATTAATAAAACTGAAAAATATATTCAGCCATCCTTGGGCCAATTGCTCAGTTTATCCTCTCTTAAAGAATTGCCTGGAGAATAAATAGGAAAGGCAAAGGAAGTTATTTTCCTTTGAAGGGAGGGTAGGCCATAAATAGTGTAAACATTAAATATATCTTTTGTATACACATTTGCTTTTATAAGCTAATCAGTATGCCAGTACACATAACTTGCTATACAAATACTAACAAAAGTGTATGCTGTTTAGTGAAATCCAAATGTTTGATTTTCCACGTATTGTTTGCTTGTAAGCTGTCTTATTTGTCTTTAAAATATTTCTGTATGAAAAAAGTTATCTCTATGTAAAACACACACAGACATGAGCATAGAGTTTTAATCCTATTATTTGAATCACTAATGGTATTCACATAATACTACAAACCAGGTATATTTAAACATATGTATCTATATCCCATTGATTAACAGCACTATGAATCACACATGTATTTCTCATTCTGGCTCTGAAATCAAAGGGATATTGAAGCAACAATATATTATGTTTAGTTTGCTTATCAATAATCTGTTATTCTTCTGTAAAACATTCCACATACATATCCAGAGATATTGAATAGAGATTATGTGAATAGAGATTACGTGAATAGAGATTAGTGAATAGAGATTATGAAGGAAACGGTATATAAATTGCTTGTGTGTAGCTTATTCAAGTTGTGCTTGCAGTTTTTTTAAAAAAATGTTTAAAAACTTCAACAAATATAATCAACCCTACCTTCATTTGAAATAATATAGTCAGGATCCTGTCATCTCATTCTGTTATTTTTCTGTAAAACTTCCACATATCCAGAGATACTCAGTGAACAGAGATTATGAAGGAAACAGTAAATTGTATATAAATTTTGTGTAGCTTATTCAAGATAGCTTTTTATATTACCAAAACAAAAACACAAATTATTTTATAAAATTCACCTCAGTTAGATGCTTATTTCTTGTTCTTGAAATGTAGGGAAATAGCAGAATTTTGGGCCTGGTTCATTTTAAAAACGATTATGGATTAGTTTGCTAGCTGAAAAGAATTTTTGCATTTTCATGAGAAGCTAATTGACTTGTGTTTTCCAAATAGCAAAAAAAAAAAGACTACCAATGGTTTATTAAAATAAATATTTGATGTCTAGCTTTAATTGCCTTTAAAATGAGAATATATAAATTAGTTATCTTCTGTTGCATCGGAATGTGAGTTTTGCTTCTATTGTGATATTTTTAGATATAAAATTATATTCAGTAGAAAACAAACCTAAACCTAGTCCATCTGAAAAAAAGAACATGCTCTTCTGAAATCATCTTGAATATACAAGCCATAAAATAGGCTCTAAAAATTTAAATATCATTTGATTTTCCTATGCTTGTTTATTTGAGCTGGACAGACATTTAAATGAGGTTTTGTATGTGAGGTTTTTCATCTTCCAGGAGGCTCCAGATAGCCCTAATATGAAATGTAAATACTTGGTGTATATTACAGATATAGATAACACTGCTTCTCTCTCTTAATTCATAAAACGATTATTAGCGGATATAAAATGCATTGAGTATGTGTGTAGGCACAAGGTATCATAATTATAAAATTGGCAGGACTATAAGACAATCTGACTTCATGAAAATTTCAGTCTCTTCCGTAAGAATCAGTGTGCATGCGAATAATAACTTATTAGTGATAAATGCATTTTGTGCAGTGAACAAAAGGAAAAATAGAGAACCAAATATATAATATATTCCTACATGGGGGAGGAAAAAGCAGATGGGAGGAAATTTGCAGCTATCTCATATATTAAGTGTGCATCCTTACATGCCTTTCAGTGAGATTCAAGACAGCACCATACTGAAATGACTGGAAGATGAAGCTTGGTTGCCTCCCAGAAAACCTGGGAAGGAAACCTGAAACTTTGGACTTTCAGCCCTGAAAAGGCTGGCATTATTTTTTTCTTTGAGCATCATTTGTGGCATCTGCTCCCTGAAACATTTTTGAAAATAATAAAAATGTCAGCTCTTAATGTTCATGTGTCATTAAGCTAGCAGATTTAGTATTTTAGTGAAGCTTAAAATATATTTGTAATGTTCAGTAATGATAATATTACACTAACTGATCCTAAACAATGACTTAACATAGTCAAAAATGATTTATTGTAGCATCTGTAAAAATTATCATACCAGTAAGTAATGAAAAATTAATGGAACAAATTTGAAACAATCAAAAGGTTAAAATATTATAGGATTTCAAAGACAGACTGATAGTCTCAGCTCATAACACTCCAGATACAACTGTGGTTGTAAAGAAGAAAGCATGGATAATTAATGTGGCAATACCAGGGGATAGTAAAAGATAAGACAAGGAATTGGAGAGATATAAAGATCTGAAAGCTGTAGTTGAAATATTATGGCATAAACTGGTCATGGTGGTCCTTGTGGCTATCAGCACATAGGTTGCTATATCAAAAAGTCTTAACATTTACAAATTTTGCATTGCCAAAATTTCCATATGTCAATTGCAAAAGGCCATGCTGCTTAGATACACTCATATACCAAACCAATAAATTTTGATATACTAGCTTCTTGTGAAGAATTTGATGTGTATGAAGACCAAGATAAGCTAAAGAAATGACAACTGTGATTTCACGTTATAATCAGATGATAATAGTAATATGATTGCATAAAGCAACTCCACTAGGAACAGCTTACATCTTGTGATGATACCTTTAATACTTTAAACAACAACATCTGCCTCTCCTATGTTTTGGGGATTCAATTGGTGGTTAAAAATGGCAAATTCTATCTAAACATTGGGATGACTTATTGTACCTGCAGAGTATAGGCATTGCAGACAATTCAAATATTTTGGGCTGAGAAATGTATATATAGAGGGAATGGTCTTGAAAAAACAAGATCTATTTTGTATTAGCACTGCCATCCTTGCCTCATTCCCAGCACCCTGCAATTTGTACACAAAACTCCAAATCTGGTTTAGTTTCATAGTGCTTTATGCTTTTGTTTAATGTCACAGGGAGTACCACAGCTAGCTATCTGCTTGTCAGAAGAGCCAGAAGATCATATTAAGGCTGCAGCTGCTTGGTCATTGGGACAGATTGGGAGACATACTCCAGAACATGCCCGTGCTGTTGCTGTAGCTGGTGTCTTACCTGTATTGCTTTCCCTGTATATGGCAACTGAAAGTTCAGAAGATCTTCAGGTCAAAGTAAATGAACTCCATCATTTTTACTGTTGTTAAATTTAATCAAGCAGTGAGGTTCTGATCCATTCAGTTAAGGTGTATGTATATATATACATACATACATACCAAGCTGCATGTATACCAGCCAAGTTGCATGTATATATTGATTCATTTGAAATGTAGAGTAATTTTTAGGTGTGTTGATTTAATATACATTGTAACTTACCTGGAGGTTACTATATACTGAAATGTGGAACAACACTCTTGGAACATGGAAGTATTTGAATAAGTTTTTAGGGAACATTGGAGGAATTACTTTTAAGAAACATGGTTTATTATTTGGAGAACAACACTTCTTCATTAGCAGGAAGACCATGCAACTTGAGAATCTAGCTTTATATCTCTTAAAAAAAATTATCACTATACTTGTTTGAAAGTTTACATTGGAGCCACACATGTGAAGCCCAACTGATGACTGAGTTGGCTTTATTTAGCTAGGTATAAATATGTGTGCATGAATGAGGACATTAGCTACTATGGAATTAATGATAAATCATGAATGCTCATATAGAACTGGAGAGGTATTAGAGGAGAACCTATGTTCTAGTTATGCCACAATATCTGTATTCCAATTAAACAATGGGAGTCTCAGGAACTTCAGTGAGTTGTTACCTAATTCCATAGGCTCTGCTTTAAACTGAGTGAATTCACTGGATTGCTTAACGTGGTATTGCTGATGTCACTGTCAACTGATCTCCAGGACTTCAAGCTAACAGTTTTTCAGGCCTCCGGGTCCTAATGTTAAAACTTTGTGCTCTAATGCTGAATCATAGTCTTCACCCAGTTCTTTTTCCTGCTTCCTGACATGGCTTTCAAACCCTGGGAAGAGAAGAGGTACCTCTGAAAGGCCCCAGAGCTTTTATGGGGATTTCTGTGCAGGATCTATGTTAAGAATTACATTGTTGCTGTTGTTTATTTAAGCTTTTAAATGTTCAATTTTAGTGAGTTTTAACTCTGCTATTTTTGTTACATTTTATATAGGTTTTATAAAAGTTTAATATTTTTAATTATTAAGGCATCTTGCTAGTCTGATTACATATGTCAGAATATTTTACACTTTTAAAACATCATTACAGTTTTATAAACCTGAAATGCTGTAGCTTCTCTTTAAGCTTTGAGGAAAGATAGATTGAATAATAATATACGTAAGTGAATAACACATAGCTGTTTGCAAGCTCCCCCAGCAGGTCTTTTGTAGTACCAATCTTTGAGAAATGCACTACAAATTTGACAGTTAAATGGTTGAATGTCACAATTTTGGGGCATTTCTTCATGATTATGTAGGAAGAGTTAGTAATGGAATAGTAATGGCTCACTACATAGGATTCTCCTGTTCCTGCTTTTTTAGATTTCTTAAAAATACCAACTGGGGGGGTGAAATATTTTAATCATGCTTGTTCTGGTGATCTCATTACATTGCTGTCCTATGACCTTCCTGAAGATTAGAATGAGTTGCAGTCCCTGACTTGATGGAAATGTCCCTCCTATATTTTCCTGCAAATAACTCATTTAATATTGGTATTAAGATACTTAGTACCAAGGTATGGGAGAAGAGATGTCAGAAACTGCAATGAATGGTACTGTTAAGTTGCCTAGATTAAATAATTAGTACAAGCTATATGCCATTTTTGCAAATAAAGCAGTTACCAAACTGCACTTTAAAAATACATTTCACACAGTACTTATTTTAAAAAATTTTTTAGTATGATGATACTCTATTTTACAGGTACAGGGAAGCAAGACCCATTGGAGTTGGAATTCTTTTTATATGTTATCTAACCCAGCATTATCTTTTCTGACTGGCAGCTTCTTCCCAGGGCCTTGTATAATTTACGACCTTATGGGATACTAAGCAACAATATCTCCTCCTGAAAAGCTGTGCTTCAGGGCCAATTTCTATGATACTACAAGTTATTTCCAGATTTAGACAAGATATATATTTGTAGAGCGCAAAATGTGGGTTCGAAACCACATGTGGTTTTTAGGCATGAACTATCTTCCTCCAATTTATAAGGTTTATTCTAAACTTTGGTCCAGTTGATATATAATTTAGAATGAAATGAACCTTGAGCTAGTAGAGATGACATCTGGTTGAAATCAAGTGCTTCTGTGGGTAAAAATAAATTCCTTTCAGTGAAAACTAGAGCTAATAGAAAGTTGAGTTGTGGTAAAACACACATAGACATGCGCATAGGGTTTTAATCCCATTATTTGAATCACTACGGTATTGACATAATAGTACAAACCAGGTATATTTAAACATATGTATCTATATCCCATTGATTAACAGCACTATGAATCACACATGTATTTCTCATTCTGGCTCTGAAATCAAAGGGATATTGAAGCAACAATATATTATGTTTAGTTTGCTTATCAGTAATCTATTATTTTTCTGTAAAACATTCCACATACATATCCAGAGATATTCAGTGAATAGAGATTATGAAGGAAACGGTATATAAATTGCTTGTGTGTAGCTTATTCAAGTTGTGCTTGCAGTTTTTTTAAAAAAATGGTTAAAAACTTCAACAAATATAATTTGAAATGATATAGTCAGGATCCTGTCATCTCATTCTGATTTGAGTGTGGACCAGCCATAACCAGAACAGCCAGGGAAGAAGCTACATGGAAATAGCTCCCTCCAGTGCTCAGTGACCTGTCAATTGGGCCTTCTTTCGAAGAAAAATTCAGTTTAAGATCAGTGTTGGTATTTACCATTTCTGTTGCAAGGGATATGACATCATAATGAGTGAGTCATAGAAAGTTTTGAGGCCTCCCCAGACTTATGCTTCCTTTTGTCGAGAGTAGCTAGTTTATAATATACAAATTAATGTATATAGAAGTGTGTAAGTCATGAAAAATAATAAAAAATGAAAATTACATTCCTTACGTTAGAAACATTCAAAGGTGCATAAACTTTAATAATCCATGTTTGTTTTCCTCTCCGCCTATGTATGAATGTGTTTCTGTCTGTCAGTTTATTTTATTAATTTTCTGGGCTAGGGAACATATTTTTCTCACAATTATCTAGCTAAAGTCATAACTGAAACCAAATATAAAATGTTTATTTCAGTGTTTTATTCTCATGGTCTGTGACACGCTAAGAGATGTGCCTTGAGATGTATCTGTGCAGAGGAAGATTAAACTGATGACATTTGGTGTAGACTGGGAGCAAACTTTGTTAGTCGAAGTATAGAGGAAGTTTCCCCAGTCCCCATGGTATGGGTAGCATACTGCTTATACAGCCTGCTAAAGTTGTACAGTCCAGATATTCTGCTTTTCTCCAGATTCTACTTTTCTCCATATGCCCTTTAGAACCCTCTTCAGAACATATATTTCAAGGCAGAGAGGGCTAGAGCCTTTGGGCACCAGATCAATTCAGAATTAAATACTTTCTTTGCAGAAACATGGAAATCTCATAAAAGTGATACTCAGACCCTATCCCAATCATCTCTTAGTACCACTGGCATAATTTGCTTTACAAAGCATTGCCCTGCTTCTCTGCAATACAGCACATGAGGTAGACAATGCAATGACAAACTTTTCAATTATGGGTTGAACCCTCTTTGCTTTGGTAAATTGGTGTCAACCCCTAGAACTAATGGATCATCACTGGGAGAATATATAAACACCAAAATATCATAGCAGAAAATAGAAAGATGTTTGTAATACTCCGTCCAAATCCTATTATTATATGTTGTTCTTTGGTAAACCATTTCAAATGTTGGTCAGTCTATTTCCTTTATGTCCATGTGATCTAATAGTTCAGTAAGTGTAACCTTCAAGTTTAATCAAGTGGTAAATATTTTTGAATCATATAAAAGGGTTAGGATTAGGGTTAGAACATGAGTAAGTCAGTGTCTCCCTTTGTCTTTCTTTGGTATTGGTAAGCTAGGACGAAATGGGTTCTTAGCTTACCAATAGAATGAGTATTTGAACTTCTAAATTCACCAGAACTACAAAATGAAACCCACATAATCCAAAATAAAAGTAGGATTATTATGATTGGCATTTAAAAAATTCCACTAATGTACATTTATATGTTTATTATAATGCTACCTTCAAACATAATTTTTAAACATTTGCAAGAAGTATGTTTCAAGTATTGTGCTTGGAAAATAGTTATAAGGTTTTTTTGCCTTGTAGAAATAATACAAGTTTAGTTTTTATAAGTGGTGATTGTGTATTGATGTCTTACTGAGGACATTTTGTATTTTGATAGGCTAAGAAAGCCTTGAAGAATATTTTACAGAAGTGTACTCATCTGTCAGCTCTTGAGCCCTTGCTACATGATGCTCCCCCCAATATCCTGAAACACATAGTTGGCCAGTTCAGCAAGGTAAGAATCATTCCAAGATCAATATTCCTTCTTAAGAATGGTGGCAGCTGTCAGAAGAAAACTTCCCCGGACTGTTTGGTTTGTATGGTTCCATTATTGCATTTCCCTTTTTCAGTTGGGATTCTTCAGAGACTGTTTTGGGGGAGGGCAAGGTTTCAGTAACTGTTTGACAAGCTGTTCCTAAGCTCAGTGGCTCTTTCTGACCTAGATCAGAGGGTGCAGAGGTAAAGCATCCTGTTTTGCAGATTAAGCAAGAGTAGCCATATTATTTATATTGGCCTAATAATCTCAAAAACAACAGTTCAAGGGCCACAAAAGAACTATTTGGCTTGAATGGACATAGCTATCAAGGACCAGGTTTTGGATTCAGGTTGTAATGGATCAAAGGCCAGAATCTTTGCTAAAAACCTCTCTATTTTATCAGCAAGTTTGTTAATTAGACTCTATGCCTTCATACCTAAGAAAGAATGGAAGACTTGCCCTGTCTGTCCGATAGATGGCTAATCTCATCACTCAGGACCACTCTGATTGCTGGGTGATAGTTTGCCTTGTAATCAATCCCACCTGGATGGTCTCAGAGTGTTTAATAAGGGAATCAAAAGAAAGTATGAAACTAAGCTACCTTTTTGCTTTTTTATCATAAAGAATTACCAATGCTTTTAAAGAGGAGAAGTATTTCCATTTATTTACTTATTAGTCCTATTATACCATAGTATCTCAATGGTTTAGAATAAAACATATGAAAACTAATCTGATTTTGGTCTGTAATGCATATCTGTCAGCTGTGATTGATTCTGACACAGAATATCTTAAAGTGGGTGGATTTAATTGGTTTATTTGAGTTTGTGTTTTTCTAATTCAGCAGAAAGTTGACTTGGAATGAACATTAGAATTCACCGAAGTCCTGCTTTTGTAGTTTTACATAAGGGTGGACCATCTTTGGTGGTGGTGGTGGGGGTAATACCCCATAAATGTGGGAAGAGGGAATACCCATACATGTGAGGGGGGGAAATGCTCCATATATGTGAGGGAGGAAAATACCCCATATATGAGAGAAAGACAAAATGATACAAATTCGTTCTCCTCACTGTTGGAAGGTTATCACCTGAATTGGCTCTGTCTGCTAGAGATTATAAATCCACACCACTGCTTAATGAATGTCAAGTGTAAAATGTAAAGAGCAAAATGAATTAAAAAAAAATATCCTGTGTGTTTTTAAGATTTTATCAAGAAAATTATGGTATGATTAGATCAATTAAATAAGCTAATGTATAATATAAAGCAGACAGAAATAATTATGTATAGGGAATCCTAATCCCAGGTATTTCAAAGCTGTTAGACTCAATTTAAATGATACCAAGTTCAAAAATAAAATATTTTGAATTGGGTGAAATATATTTTCATGCATAAGATGAAATTGTCATGTTTCTTTACTGATAGAAATGTGAGCATAATATTTGTCAGTGATAAACAAAATCAGATAAGAGTTATTAGTCACCTCATTATTATAGTACTCATTTTTAAGTTTTATATTCATATTGCAAACTGAACTAAAGTATTGTAAGTTTCTCCACAGTGTTGTTTGAGTACAGTAATGTATTTTCTTCTTCTTTATACTTTTTGGATACAAAATAGATATTTGTGGCTGTTGTGCTTTAACAAGTGGATACTGCATCAGTGCAGAACATCTATCAAATAGGCCATATAAGCAGAATGCTGCTTCTCATCATCTCAATTCCTTTTGAGGATTACAGAAAGTAGCATCTCCATTGGAAAGATGTTTCCCACATTTTCATCTATTGTTATTATATTTTCATCTTCATTTTTAGGATACTAAAGCTGCCTTTTCCTTAATGCCTCCTCTGCAGCGACTAACCAAGTAGATAGTCTTTGTGCAATCTCTACACCAGGGAACAGCACATTGAACTTGTTTCCACACCAGTTCTAAGCAAGCATGGCAAACCATTATTGCCATTTGTAGGTTTTATTGTGGGAGCAGATTTTAAAGACCTCCAGATTAAGCTCCCCTCTTCCTTTCACATTCAAAATCAGACTGCATTTTCAACTAAGGTCCCTACTTGGACACAAAAACTACACTGAAGATAGAAGTTGGACTTTCAGTTTCACATAACTACTATTTCCAACGTGGCTCCCTCTATTGTATCAATGTTTTTGGCTTCCCCAGTCCTCTGACAATTGTAATTTGCTCCTGAATTTGAAATATAAATACTTCTAGAGGTTGAAGCATTTCATAATAAGGCCAAATCTTTTGAGCAAGTTCAGTTTTTCTCACTTATCCTATAGTTCCTGTTTCTCAGATTGCTAGAATAATCAGTTATCTGTCCTATGTTATCTCTGAAAAATTGGAGTCCCTATTTTAAAGCAAGATTGCACTTTCCTTTGTCAAGAACATCTTGGGCTTAATATTGGCTCCTTAATTTTCTGCAAGTGCCCATGTTTGAGAACCTTTGTAGGCCAGTTTCTAGATAGGAAGGCACTATTGTACTCAGGGATGTTCAAAGGGTATATTAAAAAAGTTAAGATGACAGGTGTAATATTGTGATTGAAGTTCCACATGGATATTGTGTGTGTGTGTGAGGCTGAATAATAACTCTGTTGTTATAAACAGTAGTGTAATAGTTGCTTTCAGTTGCTTGTTGTAGTCCTACAAAAGAATATTTCATAAACTGCAATGAGATTGACTATTTTGCCTACTTTGCCATAGTATGTGGATACTTTCAGGTTCTACAACTGCTTGCTAGCAATATTTCCTTATAACACTTTTGTGGAAGTTGGTGGGAAGAGCTATGCTAGTTGGTGGGAAGAGCTATGCTAGTTTCCCTTCCCTTCCAAGTAACCTCTTTACCATGTTATCAATCTTCTCCAACATTGATAAAATGCTGCCCAAATGTAACAGTTGGTAGGAGCTCCACCCCAAACATGTCTGTTTCACAATGGTCTTACAGAAAATGTAGTCAGATTTACTATTTTTTCTATCACTTAAACGTTAAAAAGATAAGCAGACTCATGTTCAGAAATAGCAAAGTGACAGGTGACAGGAAAATAAGTGACAGGTGACAGGAAAATAAGGGGGGTGGAATGGTGCCTTGCCTCCCAGAATCCATCATTATTCATCTGGCTAGCGCCCTGTCAATGTGTGAGAGAATTTAGGGCTGTTGGGAAACTGAAACAGTATTTGCTGTGTGAGCAAGAAGACAGCAAGGAATCTGGGCGTAACTTAGCTTAACTGTTCTGTACTAAAGCTGGTTGCTGCTGTGAAACTAAAATTGAAACTGAAACTCCTCTGCTTGGTTTTTTTTTTTTCATTTGGAATGGATTTCTTTTCAGGTGGGGAGTGGGAGTAGAACTCCTGAGCATCAGAGCGTGTTAATAATAATATAGGAAATACTAATGCTCTGATGGTCATTTCGAAAAATCCTTTCTTAGTGAGCACCTAGAAGCCAAGAGGAACATACATTGCAAATTTCAAGTTTGTAGGCCTTACGGTTCTGGAGATTTTGTGATGATGCATGAGTGGTATTTCGCTTTTATATATATAGATTTGGTAAATTTATATAGATGTTCATTTGACATAATGTCTGAGTAATATATAAAATTAAAAACATAAAATAATAATAAGAAAGCATAAAGCATTTAGGCTGATATACACCCTGAGGGGATTTACAGCACTCTTTGGATGGTTTAAAATGAAGAAGGATTATTTGCAAGTTGACTCGAACATTTTGGATCCTCATTTTACCAGTCTTCGAAGGACAGAAGGTTGTATCAACCTTAAGCCCCATCAGGATCGAATTCCAGGCTATGGGCAGAGTTTTGCCTGCAATATTGCACTTTAACCACTGCACCATAATACAAGATAATTAATAAATATAATAAAAAAATAAATGGAGTCTATTAAAAATGTCAGTAGGGCAGCACACTCAACTTTTCTAGCAACACCCATATTACAGGATCTTCAGGCTAGATAGCAAAGATGTTTTCAAGCTCTTCTAAAAGGCCAGCAAGTTAGTCTGACCTCTGTGGGAATGATGTTCCAAAGGGCAGATGCCCCAACAGATAAGAGGTGCTATTAAGTGACATTTCTTCAACAAACTACAACATGCTCTTCTGGAAGACACAATATTTCCATTCATCATGAATTGTGGTTGCATCCTTGACTCTTCTTGAGATATTTCTTTTGTAGAGATAGATCAGTTGGCAGTATAGTCTTGGCTTTTAACTATGTGTATGAACTAGATATTCATACTCAAATTGATGTGCCTCTTAGCCATTATGACCTCACCTGTTACTTTCCATAGTGGCCTGACCCACTTTTGATGTTCTTAGATTGTTCGTTTTAAAACAGAAAAGATGGGTTGCTTTCTTGTAACTCTATTTCTGTCAATTGTCATCTGTGTGCTTTTATAACCTGTCCCTAAACAAGTCAAGAACTGTTTAATATTCTTGGTGTTTTTTGAGCGACAGCTGTGTGAACTCAAGAATTTGAGAGAGAGAGAGCACTACCTCTTGATATATGTCATTTTCAGGAATAAATAATAAATTAAAAAACCCACAATTGCAAGTCAGCAACATATTTTTCTCCTTTGTATATTCTTTTTTTGGCAACAATGCTCATATCCTCATTTGTTAATTGAGGCTTGAATGAAAAACATTTGCTAAATTATGCTTGCGCTTTTGCATCTTGGCTTCACATTAATATTAAGCTTCAAAGGAAATAAGATGCCTTTTGAGTAGGAAAATTGAATTATTGAATTTGTTTTCTTTAAATAGGTTCTGCCACATGATTCCAAAGCCCGGCGTCTTTTTGTAACAAGTGGTGGTCTTAAAAAAGTTCAGGAGATAAAATCAGAAGCTGGCTCACTACTTCAAGAGTATATCAACACAATTAATAATTGTTATCCAGAAGAAATAGTCAGGTGAGGCTGTAAGAAAGTGAATTAATTTCATGTATTCTATAATTAAACAATTATAGTTTAGTTTCTTTAGCTAACTTTCTAATAATGCCATTTTATTAGGCATTACCATAGTTGCATAGTTAATGCTATACAAGCATTCAGTGGTTCTGGGAATATGAACTGTTATTTACTCTAGAATCTAAAAGATAGGGATATGTTAATTTCTATGGGCAGATTTTACTTCTGTCCCTGGGAATATTTAGAAGTAGTTCTTCAGTAAGAAGTAGAAAAAGTCTTATCCAAAGAATTATTTTTAAAATAATTTTAATTGATTTGTGTTTCTTTTTTTAATTTATTGGTTACGTATCTTACCACTCTGGGTGGCTTATAATATTAAATAAATATAATTATATAAATAAAATACTTCAAAAATACAAAGTACAATGACAGCCTTTTCCAAAAGATAATTGGGTGGGGGGGGGGGAGATCTGTTATTAATCTATTAATCATCCCCAGTGTGAAACCCTTTATTACTGTCCATTTATTAAATTCAATCTAGGTAATGCACTTTATGTGTTTATGTCACATAGCATCACTATAAGCATATGGTTATGGTAACCTGAAGCAATCCTTTGCAAGAAATGTATTTTTAATTTAATGTCCACCAAAATAGAAACATCAAGAATTCAGTATTAGAAGACAGCATAGGATTGGCCCCAGGAAATATGTTAAGATGGTTGATATCTTTATTTGGAAACTATCAAATAATATAAGAAATGGTTTAGAACTTCTAGATGGTAGCTGGATAGCTAGTAATCTGACTATCAAAGTGATTTTGGATAAAGTAAATCCATAAAGAGATCCTTGTCTTTGTAGCTCCACATTGTCATATAGCTTATTTTAGTTTGTCAAAATCTAAGCCCTATCCTTTCCCCCTGCCCTCAGAGTCCTGCTTTCAGATACATAGAAATGAATTGGTTATAAATTGGCTCCTATTGTAACTGAGTTAAAAATATACCTGGCATTGTTAATTCTATGCCATACATATGTACTCCCTCTACTGGTCAGCTGCATTTTCCATAAAGTGATGCTATCATTTGTTCTAATTTCATCTGTAAAATTCTTTTAATGTATGTCTCATAAAAGCTCCTTAATTGCTACCCCTTGAAAACACATACCATAGTTAGAGATATTGCTACCTAAACTTGAGAACAACAAATATAAGGTCAACTTTTTCTGATTTGATACCAACTAGATACCAACTAATATTACAACTCTCAGAATTTCCAATCAACTTAACCATAAGTGTGGTAATTTTAATATGTTTGGAAGGACTAAGATGGGAAAGACGATATTAGATTGGGCATTAGTATGTTTCATCTGATTGAAGTTATCTTGAGATACATCAGATGCTTTTCTTTTTTAAAAGAATATCTACAGTTTGAATTCATGGATTTTAATCAGAAGTAATCCTTTTTTAAAAAAATAATTTTTTTATTTTTATATTTAAAAAACATATTTTTGGTGAACAATGTGGTTCTAGGTTTTTACATTTCAATACAAACATGATCATATTTACAAACTCATCCTTCATATTCAATTTCATATCATATTATTACTTATTTGATTTTCCTTAAATATTCTCAAATATTCTTATATTCATTACTCTTATTTTATCCAATTCCAGTTCATATCATAGCCTCTTTCATTTTTCTTTAAATATTCTTATGTCTTGTTTTATAATATTATCTAAAATTCCTATTTCATTTCTATATTCATTATACATATTTACTTTTATCTGTCACATTTGCAAGTTTATCACATACTAATATTCTATTTATTAAAAGTTGTCCCCTTTATTTGTCAATTTGACCTTGCCATCCCTTTACCTTATACATTCCCAAATTTATTTCCTTTAAGTTATTATAAAAATTTACCATAATATGAAAATTTACCACAGTATTATCATTTTAATAACCACATTCTACATTAATAGCGATAATCTCCTAACTACTACATACCACATATGCATATATATATTGTCAGATTCCGCATCGTGTTCTTTTTCTCAATTACACTGTAAATCATCTGTTTATTTCAAAAATATTAATCCATTCAATTAATTTAAAAAACTGATAATAGCCTTTCCATTACAATTATCATAACACATTTTAACTTTATTCAATTCATCACTTTATTAAATATCAATCAATATTCTTATAATAAATTCCCACTTCCATATCTATTTCAATTAAATCTATATCTGGTTTAACAATTATTCCTAAAGAAAAATATTAGTTCCAATCTTTTCTATTTTTAAATCTATATTCTTATATATCACAACACATTACCTTGCAGAATCCCTTTTCCTGTTCTTCTTTTACCCATTGTCTCTCATCCTCTTGACTATATAATTTCTTTTCATTTTTGTTTGCTTTCTGTTTCCTGTCATTTTCTGGTCCTTTCTCTTAATTCCCCCCTTTTCCTTTATTACTTCCCTCCATTTCTTATGCCAATTATTTATTTTGTCTCCCTCCCTCTCTTGATCTTTTCTCTGTAATGCCTTCTTCTGCTGTTTCCATCAAACCTCAAATTTTTAGCTTTAATCCCCCCCCCCCCCCGTTTTGATGTTCGTTGTTCCACTTGTTCTTTAGAATTGGTTTCTTCTTTGTTTAACTCCTCCCCTGCTGCTTCTCTTTGTTCTTCTTTAGTCTGTGTCACCATTTCTAATTTTTGTAGTATGATTACTGTACATTTTCAAGCTTTCTTTCATTTCCCTCATGTTTTATAGTTCCAATCTTATATCCATGCATCATTCTCCCATTTTTGCACTTTTTTTCCTTTTCTTTAATACATTGAATCCAATTATCCGGTAGTTTATTTCAACCAGGGTCTTTTATATTTAATTTCAACAGTCAATGTCCATAAATCTTTATTTCCAGGTTCCTTCTATTGATTTCTTTTCCAATTTTTCCCAGTCACCAAACAATCCCAGGGCAATTTTTTCACATATCTGTTTTTTTCTTGTAGTATTCTAGTATTTCATTTTTCAAGGTTTTATTTTATTATAATAGGATTCCTCTTATTTCATTTCAAGTTCAAATTTTTTAAAAAACCAAGCACTTTTCAAAGAGTCACTGAAATTTTTCCTTTACCATTAGGTGGCACTCTCAGTTTTGTTTCCACATTCCACCCTTTCTTTTCACTTTTTCCTTTTTTTAAATCTTTTGTTAATTTTGCTAATTCCAATTATTAGCAATTTTTTAACACAATAAATTCCAGCATTTAATTATGCCAATTAATACCAAAATCCAGATAATTATCCAACTTAATTTCCAGGTCGTTTATAATCAAATGTCTTCCTCTGAGTTTTTCACCTCTAAATTAAATATTTTCAAAATCCAAAGTCAATATCGCAAGTTTCTAATTTTCTTCTCTCTTTCTCTCTGATCACCACTTCTACTATCTTTCATAAAAAATTATTTGTTTCTTAATTCTGGGGTACCTTTTAATGTTGTCTGTGCTGTCCCAACCAGTCTGTGGGAGTTGGATAGTTACTTAGGAATTGTGAGCTGTCCCCTTAAGGGGACATCTTCCTTCTATTGCTACAAGATGGGTTAGGAGAAAACCATCTTTCACATACAAGGCAGACATACAAAGGATTGCTCATTAAAGATGAACTTCGTCATAAATGTGAGTTATGAAGATACCTGATGTACCAATAAATGAATTTTGTTATGGAAGCATCGTTGAGTTATCTATCAGCATCTGCACAGCTATAAATCTAGCTCTGTGCAAGAGGCAGAACAGTGAAAAATGGTTTTCTCCTAACCCATCTCGTAGTGATAGAAGGAAGATGCCATGTGGTAGAGAGTTCAGACAAAGAATGAGGAAAACTCACTTAACCCACCAAGGATCAATTCAGTGACCAATCAGGATTACAGATGTAGCCACATGAGATGAACTACATTTCCCAGGATACCTTTAATTACATTTACCATGATGCATTCCCTTAAGGGAACAGCTCACAATTCCTAAGTAACTATCCAACTCCCCTAGACTGGCTGGGACAGCACATCCATGTATTTCATCTAGTTCACACACCGCTCATGGCTTCACTGCTCCAGCACAGTCTTAGTTTTCCAGACTGCCTTCTGTGTTATTTTAGACCACTGCTGCAACTCATCTTCGGAGGGGGTTTACCTTGTCAGGGAGGGAAGATGCGGCTCCCCTCAACCCTCCAGGCGGTCCCCCCTTTCTTCACCACCCTTACAGGGTGGTTCTGGTCCCAATTGGGACCCTCCAATGAGTGAGTGCAGAGCAAAACCGCGAACGATTGCGGATTCTGCTTCGTCCCGACAGGAGCACTACTGGAAGTCAATCAGAAGTAATCCTGATTATTTAAGTAGCAAGTAATATAGTCAGGTTTCTAATATAATAGAATTATTCAAGTCCTCTAATTTTTAGAGTACCAAAGAACAATGTAGCACTCACTGTCATAGTAAAATGTACATATTCCATATCAGCAGGTCTGATTATTTTATTAGTTTTCAAATGATTTTAGCTTCATCTACACATTAGCATTGGGTTTAACTATTTCCTTCCCCATCAAAAGGATTTACTGCCTGGTTTGCACATTTTATTTATTTGATTTAGGCACCATCTCTGACTTGAAGTACAAAAGAACTAGTTTCTTCCTAGTTTTTACTGTCTGCCAACATTTTCTTTTTTGTTTTGTTCTAAAAGCTGGAGGCTTCTTTGTACTGGGATCCAAGAGAAGATGGGACTTTTATTCTTTGATTACCTATCCAAGAAGCTATAGATAGGCAGCAATTAATAATTCAAATAACATTTTGAAAGAGTTGAGGCAGCACTAAAGAAATGTGGAGAATTTCTCTGTGGAGAAATCTTTGAAAAATAGAATAGTTTTATTATAAGTAAAGAAAATCTCCCCACTGAACATACAGAAATGGCATTTTACAGCAAGGGTCAAAGATTTCTTCCTGGATGTGTATTTCTAATTAAATGACAAAGTACATTTTAAAAATGAGTGAGGTTGTAAAGAATCATATACTGTAGGTTATAAGATATTTCCATTTGGGTTTCCTAAAATAGACCCTCACTTTTCTTGTTAAAACAGGAAAAACAGAATTGGGGTAGATTTGGGATTTAGGTACAGAGTCCAGTTTAAAATACAGTTAGATGCTAAGAATTCAAAGCTCCTTTCCTGTGATTCCTCTTCCAAAGTACTGCTGTTAAACTGCAAACACCAGGCCTACCACACAAAGTGTACAGAGGTTGAACAAATATTTTGATATTTGCTTTACTTCTAATCTAATCTGATACCAAATATGCTTGGAGCATGCAATTTTTTTTTTCTGTGAGTTTGGAGGAAATCACTCTTATGAAACAAGCATTCTAGCCTTCTAGCCCAATTTTTATTTCCTAAATGCAATCTGAATTTTATACAATTCTACTGATTTAAGTATGCCTAATTTTTCACTGGGTTGCAGCTTTATATTTAACATGATAATTTTTTAACAAAATAACTCTATTTCTCTTTCAGATATTACTCCCCTGGATATTCTGAAGCACTTCTGGAAAGGGTAGAAAATTATCACCCAGTTCTATAATTTTTTTCATCTCTATAAGAAAGAGAGAAAGAAAACCCTCTTTTTCTTATCTTTGTTTTGAGTGGCAAGCAAATATAGTTTGGCCAAGACTGGTGTGGGAAATATTTAACCTTCTGTTATGTTACCGATCAATTATGACAACAGGAAGACATACCCTTTCCACCTTTGATCCCCAGTTGACTTCTGGAACTCATGCTAAGAACAAAGACTATTATATGCCTATTTTAAGAGAACTGTGTTTCTCAGTACCTTTGCAAGTCCAAGTAGAGGGAGGCCAGGACTATTTCTGGATGCACCTGAGATTTTGCTAAATAGCTTGCACCATCAAATTCTTCTTCTTTGAGAGAGAATTACAACATTATCCAGTAAGCATCAGAGTTGTTCTTTTTGCTAGGGCTTGTAGTTCAGTCTAAGCAGAAATTACCTATTATTCTTGTACTTCCACTTTCTTGATTATTTCCCCCCACTATTGTCTCTCTCCTGGTACTTGCAGTAAACCAATGAATGTTTGACCTTTTAAGAACCAAGCTTTTGTTGTACTGTTTCATTTATCACTTCTAGGAGTGGCTTTTAAGAGAACTGGTATTTAGGAAACAAACTATTCGTAAGGGTTGGAAAGTCGTTGTGAAGTAAACGTGGAAAAAAGATAAGCGTGGTACTGAATGTTGCTTAAAAATGTTTTCTCAGCATTTATAAGGCAGGGTAGTTCCTTTTTTAACACACTCCAACAACCTCTTCATTAGATAACATAGCACCATATAACAGAAAAATAAATATTTAATATTCATTGTCAAATGCAAATAACATTTGTTTTGTGAAGCCAACATTGTTTTCCTTTTGTCTTTGTCTCAGATCTAAGTCTCCATGATATATAAAGGTTAAAAAGCTCAGTATTTGAGAAGGTTAAAAGGTTCAGTATTTAAGAAACAGAACTTAGCTTTTCAGGGGCTGCGTATAAATAATATTATAAAATGAATGCACTTGGGTTTCTCACTGGTCTCACAAGCTGAATGTCAGTTGACTTCTTTACTTATATGTACACCCTCAAGCAATGAAGAGCATCCCAAATGGCAATATATTCTGTTACTTCTGAGAAAATACAGTGCTTCAGGGAGATTCTAATGACAGAAAGCCATGCAAATTTGGATCAGCCCAAAAGAATGCCTATTTAAAGGATTTATCACTGACCTCATATTTTAAGTATCTTGAGTGGAAGGGGAGTTTAATTTTCCACTCTCAATCATAATCTCAACTCAAACTCAAACAGTCAAACTCAATCTCAAACAATCTCAAACAGAAGTTTCCTTCTGACAATTACATTTCATGTTATAAAAACTTGGTATGTTAATAAATCCCTGATAATTAGGAAGATTGCAGGGGAAAAGGAGGAATAGGAAGGAAATATTGAGTATTTGTCAAGGTTTCAACCAATGCCCTAATGAAAGCAGAAGCCTCAAGCAAAGTTTCAAGAAAAAATCTAGTTGTTTATTAAGAGCACCATGTCGGCATGGACTTAGCGAAGCCCTGCCTCTGACCCTCCTGCACTCCCTTTGCACCCTTCCTCTGACCCTCCCCCACCTCCCCCCCCCAAGGCGTGTCATCAGTCACATTCCCCAATGAAGCAATTTTTCAGGTTATAGAAGTCACTCCCTCCGACTGTTGCAGGTCTCCGTGGAGCCAGCCTTGACTTTGGCCAGCTAGGATGTGCTTTGTTTTGACTGAGGTGCAAATTCCTCGATGCAGCTATGAGGCTTGATTCTCCATCCCGCTGCCTATGGCAACTCAGGAGCAGGTCAGGAAAGCTTTGTGAGTTGACAGTATTATCCTAGGAACCAAAAAACAAAACCCCCATCAGAAACATCTAAAAGAAATTTTCTGGTTTCAGTAGTGACTCCTTATCTCCCTCCATGGGACATCACCTTATATTTTGGCTTGCAAAGAGCTACCTTGATGAATGAGTTGTTGTGACTACTAATGACCATTATGAAACTGCTCTAAGATTTGATTAGGTTGTTCTGTACCTTAATTGCTTTTGAGAGGTGTGACTATTTGACATCAATTTATTTTTCCAGTAGTTCTTCAATATACCTGAAAAAGAATAGCATAATCAGAGCACAGACTGTGTGCACCTCTCCTTACAGAAATGTCATCAAACCCTCTAAGAATTGTGCTATGGACTCTTGGAAGGGCAACTGCAGGCCATGAGGTAGGTATAACCTCAACCTCCAGACAAATATCACTTCCTTTCTCACAGTATGAAATTTTTGCCATTATTTTTGACAAAGTAAGTATTAAATGTACTTGTTTTATATCACCTTCCCCTTAAAACCATGAAATCTTGAAAGTCATCAACGAACCCAAAATATCACAAACCCAAAATATCAGCCTGGTGCAATCCAGCAGAATCACCATATTATTATAGGATTTATATAGGATTTATTTTTTTATTTTACTGGATCAAATGTTAGTAATTTCTTATGCATTTTTTTAAATAAGCTTGCATTTTCTGTTTTGTTTTTATAAAGCAAGGAAGCTTAACCATAAATCTTATCCATATTGCCAAAATTCACTGGATTGTATAAAAATGGTTTCATATATTTATTTTAAATGATACAGAAATAATATTGGTCTTGGCAAAATAAAGCACATGCTGTAGTCAGCCCTATAATTTGGGTTACTGTGAATGTCAATTAGGCTATTAGTATTGAGCAATATTTGTGTATGCTTAGGAACAAAACAAATTAGGTGGTTTATGAAAGGAGCCAAACACATGCTAAAGAGAAGGATGCACCCAATTTTCTGTAATTACTTACCTAGTGATATCCTGGCCTAAACATGGTCTGATCTGGCATCTTTTGCTAGCTAAGTTTCAATATGCTAGTCTAAAAATGTAGTGTAACATAAAGATATTATAATGTACATATTTCTGCTCTCCAACTATTGATTTACAAAATGAGGTTAAGTAACAAAATGCAGAATATCGCAAAATGATTATACAATGAATATTTTAAAAACAGTTTTACCTTTTTGTAGCTCACAAAATGTTAGTCATAAAATAGTCTGTCTGAAGAAGAGATTGACATTTTTTTTCTCAAAGAGTTTAGCTGTATCAAATTATAGACTTTAAGATTCTGTCTAACAGAATGGCTAACCACTAGCCCATGGAAAGAAGTTTGTTCCTCTCATAAGGTGATTGATCTACAGTAGTAGTTTTATGAGAAGAGGCTCAATTCCTGTTTGTGAAGAAGTCACTAATAGAGATAACACCCTCAGTTTGTTGAAATTTGCAATTTAGTGATTTTTCTAAATTGTATTTCTATAACTCATAGGTCCCTTACAGTCAAATATGCTATGATTCTTATTATGGTATGTGCCAATTGTATTACAGCTAATATTAAATAAACATTAAAGCATATACTGGCTCTATTGATCCCCATTAATTCTTAAAACCTATTGAGTAATCATGCACTGATCTTGCATTGTTAAGAGTACACATGGTGATCTTCAATGATTTGGTTCACTGAAATAAAGATTTCTGTACATAGAGATGCATCTCTCCTTTTTTTATCATTGTGTCCTCAAATTAGGGAATCAACTTCACAGGATCCCTACTTGTTAAGAACCTGAATAATTGCCAAGGAGTGACTTTTCAAAACTATGATATGCATCAAACATAAGGCATGTTGCAGCATTCATTTTCAAAATAGAAATGAGCATAGCAAATGTAATTGAGTCAGAGAACATAACAAAAGAGAACAAAATTGCAGAACAGAACAAAAGAGAACAAAATTGATTTCTCTTACTTGGCTCATATGCACACACAAGAACAGAAGCAATCTATGACTTTTTGCTGCTTTCAGAAATGAATAAGATATCAGCCTGTTCTCTTATATGAAAACCAACTAAACAACCAACCAATTTAAATATGTTAAATTTTTATACATTCCATTACACCTAGAGGCTGCTAAAGGGGACACTTCAAGCTGCTTGGTATAGAGCTTTCTTGATGCGTTGCGGGTCCCAGTACCAGGATGAATCAGCTGACGACCTGCACCCAGGCAGACTGTCTGGGCGGGCTCCTCTTGATGGCAAAGATGACAGCGACACAAAGGTTTCTTTTGGTGAGAGGAAGCCCAGATAGTACTACGCACCTCTCTTTTATTGTGCAGCAAGCGGGGGGGGTTAGGTTACACATGAGGTTAGACAGGAACAGGAAACACTGCCATATATGGCTAATCCTTATGCTATAGCTGACTCAGGTTTTACACAGGAACAGGAAACATTGCCATATATGGCTAATCCTTATGCTATAGCTGACTCAGGTTTTACACATTGCTGTTCCTATAGTGTCGCCCTATATGTGTATTGTATGTGTATTGGGTTGTCTGTGTACGTGACTTCCTCCTGATGTGTCATGATATCGCAACACTTTCTGTGGTGACACCTTATGGTGTCCTCCAAATCTGCCTTATTTTGCCGAATAACCCTGAGATATGCACACAAACACACACATCTCTGCTTATAGATTAAAAAAAACAGGATTCAGTAATATGTAAGAGAGCAGCCTACCATATCAAAGTACAGAAATGATTTCAGACCAGTTAACGGAATAATGAAGAATGTGGGAGATTAAATATATAAATTGGAAATATATAAGCCTCCAATGGATGAAGTCAAAGTCTTCTGGAGAGAAAGAACTACCATGTGAATTAGGCCCTTAAATAATATTGAGGGTTTTTTTTTACTTACAGTAAAAACAATATTGTATCTTCCAATTAGCTCACTGGATATATATAAACTGTTTGGTGTCATGGTGAAGGCATTTGCCTAGAAACTGGAAGACTGATTTCTAGTTAATCCCTAAGCATAAAGGCAGCTGGGTGATTTTGGATCAGTTACATATCTCAAACCTATCTGAAATCTTGCCAAGAAAATGGCAGAGACTTACCCAGGCAGTTGCCAAGGTTGGATTAGATGATCTACAGGGTCCCTTCTAACACTGATTATCTGTTTAACCTAAAAACACACATTTCTCTCTCTCTCTCACTATCTCTGTCTACACATATACACATACAAAACACATATTGCCTGGCCAGTGAATTTGGCTTTGAAAACACACACGCATATACACCCCTGTGTATATAATATTTAGTTGAATAAAATGGATAAAAATTGCATTGCTTGTAAAGCTATTTAACAATAAATATGCGGATTCTCATAACCTGTTTTAGGTTTCTTTTTAAAATAACCACCGTTGTTTCTGGATTGTAAGCAATTTTAGTCGCATGTTAACAATGGGGTACTTCGGATTCTCCAGCTATTGAACTATGATGCCCAGACTTTTTCACTATTGGACACACTGGCAATATGGGAAATGAAGTTGAGTGACACTTGGAAAGCAGTCAGTCACCCACCCTGATGACAAAGTGAATTTTAGTAGCTTTTTTCTAAGAATTCAACAAATATAAACTCCTTACATTATTGTGAAGTAGATCAGTGCACCTCTTCTCTTTCAAACAGAAAGTG